CCCGGGGTCCTCCCTGCCCCGCCGCTTCCTGCCAGGACGCCCAGGGAAGGGTCCTGCTTGGACAGCCCCTGCTACGGGGCCGCTGAGGCAGTGCTCCAGCCACTTGCTCAGAGAGCTGCCTGGCCTCCACGGCTAGCCTCCCCCACACTCCCAGGAAGCTGATGAGCCCCAGGTGAAGAGCTGCCCTGCCCTAGGACCCGGGGCTTCTGAAACGCCTTCAAAGCTGGTCTCCAGCCTCCTCCAGCCCGATGCCTCTTCCTCTCCCAGGCCCTGGTCAGTTTCTTCCACGCAGAGGGTCAGGGCCTGTCCATGGAGAGCCTGAGGGATGGGAGCTACAAGGTGAGGCCTGGCCACCGTGAGGGCTGGGGCAGCCTGGACACGGGCGGGTTCCACAGCTGCCCCACACGGCCCCGTGTCCTCGTGCACGAAGTGGTCCCAGGGCAGCTGTGAGGTGCCACAAAGGCCCCTGGTGCGCATGGCCAGCAGTCACGCCCTCCACGCACTCCTGCAGAGGCTGGAGGAGGAGCTGCGGCTGCACAAATGCCCCACTCGGGAGTGCATTGAGCAGTTCTACCTGGACAAGCTCAAGCAGGTAGGTGGCCTGCTGCGGGCACTCGCCCTGCGCTTCCCTGCACCGAGGCCCCCCCCCCCCTTGCTCACTAGCCTTCCTGCAGAGGCCCCTGGAGCAGAGCCGGTTCGGACGCCTGAGCGTCCGCTGCCACTACGAAGCGGCAGAGCAGCGGCTGGCCGTGGAGGTGCTGCACGCTGCGGACCTGCTCCCTCTGGATGCCAATGGTGAGGTGTACCTGGCAGCGGTGGGGCGGGCCAGCGACACGGGGCTCGCTAGCTCACGCTGTGCCTCCAGGCCTGAGTGACCCCTTTGTGATCGTGGAGCTGGGCCCACCGCACGTCTTCCCCCTGGCCCGCAGCCAGCGGACCCAGGTCAAGACTCGGACGCTGCACCCGCTGTACGACGAGCTCTTCCACTTGTGAGTGTCCACGCCACTGCGCCCAGGCCACGCGGCCACTGGGCTCCTACTGACGGCCCTCTCTGCAGCTCCGTGCCTGCCGAGGCTTGCCGCCGCCGTGGGGCCTGTGTGCTGTTCACCGTCATGGACCACGACTGGCTGTCCACTAATGACTTCGCAGGGGAGGCAGCCCTCAGCCTGGCTACCATCCCCGGCGTAGCCCGGCCCCAGGGAGGGGCACTGCGGGCTGGGCCGCCCCTCACACTGCACTTGCGCCGGCCCAGAGCCCAGGGTGAGCGAGCATTGGGTGGAGGTGGGGGCCGAGGGCCAGCCAGGCCTGGCGCTGGCTGCCGCACACCTGCCCGCCCACAGTGAGGTCGGCGCTAAGGATGCTGGAGGGCCGCACCAGCAAGGAGGCACAGGAGTTTGTCAAGAAACTCAAGGAGCTGGAGAAGTACATGGCCGAGCCCTGAGCAGCGCTCCTGCTGCCACCAGCCCGCCTCGCCCTGGTAGCCCCCCACAGCCGTGCCCCTCCCCTGTGATGTGCTGTGCTGCTGTGGCCACGCCCCCCGGTGTATCTGTGGACCTGCACTCAGAGCCCACCCTGACCCCCGGGTGGGCCTTCCTGCACGGGTGGTGGCTCTGTGCCCACTGGGTACCAGGTGGTGTCTGCAGGGACTCGGGTCCCGACCGGAGAGTGAAGATGCTGCTCAGCACCCTGCACTGAACCAGCTCCCCAAGACTAGTCACCCTTATCTCACGGGAAGTACCACTGTCTCTCGTTGGGTGAGGACAAGGTCTTAACATCCTAGAGGCAGGAAGGCCTGGGGGGGGCATTTGGACAAGCTGAGCTGGGAGGGGAGGAGCTTCCAGAGCCTCCAGGAGCAGAAGTGGGCACACCTGCTGACCCAGCCCCCTCCCCCTCCGTGCGGGTAGAAGTGGGCACACCTGCTGACCCAGCCACCACCACCGTCCTCCCCCGACCCTGGAGTGCTCTGCTCAAGAGGGACACAGAGGAGAGCTTTGCTAAGGGCTCTGCCTAGCCCCTAGGCCCAGGAGAGGCTCCCTTGAGGCCCCAAACCAAGGCCCATGGCTAGGGGCCAGGGAGCAAGGCTCTGAGCCAACTGGTCAGTATCTTTCCTAGCGGATGGCCCCCCAAGACACACTTCTGGGCAGGGTCTGCCTCCCCAGAGGCCAAGACCCCCGCCCCACCCCCCGGAAGCAGCAGGCGCACACACAGGAGCTTCCTGGCTTGCCGCCTTCATTGTGAGCTCCGAGGTACAACCAAGAGTAGGTGTGTCAGAGAAGCTGGGAGAGCCCGGACGCCAGCCCCGCCGGCCCATCTGTGTCCCCACTCGCTGTCTCTACGTGTCCCCATCATGCAGCTTCCCAAATACACGCTTCATCAAGTCTGGCGTTTCTTGACTCCTTTGCAAACGTCAAGCGGGACCTGTGGCTTCGGCCCCTTGGCCTGGAGCCGCGGCCTCCTCAGAGCAGCTGCTGCTGCCTCCTCTGTCCTTGGTGTCAGGCCCTTGTCCCTCAGCCTCGTCGCTGTCCTCAGTGTCTGTGGGCAGCCTGGAAGAGGGACATGTCCCTGAGGGTGTCCCTGGCAGCCTGAGGCAACACCTCCGTGTAGCACTCAGCCCTGAGTCCCTGCCGTGGACTGACGGCCCTCGTTCCCAGGGCTCTAAATCAAGCTCCTTGCGGGATGTCCACCCAGGAACACACTGGCCCCTCCACGGGGCAGAGGGCCAGAGCCTGGCGGCGCAGCGCGGCAGGAAGCTGGGACCTACCAGGCACTGGTCACGGGCCTGTTGGGGTTGAGGAACTCGCGTCCCGAATCCACGTCAAAAGGGTCTGATCCAGGGAAGGAAGGAGGGGTCTCTAAGCGACCTCAGAGCAGAGCCAAGTTCCCCTCCCTGGGCCTTTCCAAAAGGAGGTGGCTGGCCCGGGGGTGCAGTCCCTACCAGGCTCCCCACCATACCAGGCCTCACCAAGTTCCTCCTGCTTGGGGCTCCCCTCAGCGTTGGCCAGGAA